TATTTTTAGTTGGAGATGAGTTTTTATTCACTGTTCTGTTGCTTACCCCCAAAATGACTATCAAAATGATTATTCACCCTCATGAGTCTGTGTGTCACCAGCACAGGGAGGGTTGCCTGTGCTGTTTTTAAACACAGAGCCCCTGGGAGCAGAGGACACATTCTAGTTCCAAGCTGCTGAAGACAGGCTCCACCCAGCCGCCTTGCAGCAGCAGCCTACTCCTGGCTCTACAAAGGCCTGTCCCAAGGGGAGTTGTGGGTTGAGGAGAGTTTCAGACAGTAAGGAGGAAGATCAGTCCAGGTCTGAACTTGAACAAAGATTAATGCTGACAGCACAGTTATGAGACTGTCAGAATTGAGAAAGACAGCTAAGACACTTCAGGCCAGATCCAAACTCTGCAGGACAAAGGACATGCAAGGTGGGATGAACTTTACAAAATCACAGAGGGCAGAATTGGTCTTTGAGGAGTTGCTAGTCTTTTGTTTAAGAGTTTGGTAAATATCTTGGTAGAGAAGTGGATGAAACCCAGGGTTCTCACAGCAGGAGCAGGTCATCTCTTCCCCCCAAACTGGCCCTGATCAGGAATATCTGACTGCTTAGTCACCTCACCTACTAGCCTGCCAGCTTGCCAACCTGCCAGTCCATCCTTCCTACTCACTCTCAAGGTTCTCGTAATAATTCAACTGTAAACCTAAAAATTTACAGCCAATTTTGAAAGAGATGCATCCTACCTCAGGAATGAATATGTCAATTGTGTTGTAATGATATGCTTCTTCTAAGTATGTTGTTATTAAATAAATCATTTTTAAAAATAAAAAAAAATACCAAAAAAGAAAAAAAAGAAAAACAGACCAAATATATTATTAGGATGTCAAAAATCATTTTTCACAGCAAGTGATATACATGCAGATGGTATACTATATATATATGTGTGTGTATATATATATATGTATGTATATAAATCCATAGTTAAAGTGTAGCTCAGATAACAAGGTATGAGGCTGTGGGTTCAATCCCCAGCACACCCACTCACCTACCACACACACAAAGAACCATGAACACAAAACTACATATGTAATCTCAAAGTGACAGATTTATATATACATATACAGTCAAATAAAACCTCAAAATATACCAAAAAGTTTACAGTGGTGATCTCAGAATAGAAACTTTTCTTTAGTTTTTAGTTTCAAATTTATTCAGATATCATGCATACTTTATATTATAGAACATATGTATCACATGGGATGTGTTTAGTAGCACCCCGTCAGAAAATATCTCTAAAGTATTAACCCCCTGGAACCTGTGACTACGAGCTTTGGATAAAGAGCCTTTGCAAATTGTGATAGTTAATTTACTATCAACGTGATTGAGGAGTTGAATTGAGAAGTGCCTGAACAGGTAAAGCACATGTCTAAGTGTGTTTGTAAGGGTCTTTCTAGGGTTGATTAAGAGGGGAAGACTTACTCTGAATGTGAGCAACACCAGGGAAGAGGGGGAAAGCACAGAGCTCATTAGCACAGACACTTTCTGCTTCCTGGCTACTATGTCATGAGCTGCTCTGCTCTACCATGTCTTTCCTGCTATAACTGAATGGAAACCACTGAAACCATGAGCAAAAATAAATCCCTGTAAGCTATTTTGACAGGTATTGTGTCTCAGCAATGGAAAGTCTGGCTAACAAACAAATGTACAAAGATCTCAAGATGAAATCATCTTTGATATAGTCAGTCCTAAAGTCAGTGACATGTCATTGTAGGAGAAAATAACAAAGAAAGGAAGGGTGTCTGAAGATGGAGCCAAGGATAAGGAATTGCCATGTCTGGCAGCCTAGAACCTAGAAGAATGAAAGGGTTCCGTTCAGTCTCCAAAGGAACCAACCTTGACTGCACCTCATGTGAAACTTTCTCCCCCCGAGCTGAGAAAAAGTAAATCTGTTGCTTTGAGTAATCAACTTCATAGTGAATTGTTAAATACAGTCTTATGAAGATAACATATTATGTAAAGATACAAAAATCACTTTGAGGGCTGAAGAGGGTTCGTCAGTTAAGAATACTTGCTGTTCTTCCAGAGAACCCAGGTTTGATTCCCAGCACTCACATGGCAGCTAACAACCATCCATAACTCCAGTTCCAGGGAATCCAACACCCTCTTCTGGTCTCTGTGGGGACTGGATGCACATGGTGCACTCACATACATGCACGCAAAACACTCATACACATAAAATAAAAATAATAAATATTTAAAAAATCACATTGAACAAATACTATAAAATAAATGAACAATTTTTCCTTTTGAAATATAAACTACAAAGTAAGTGTATATATAGGCAAATGAATATGTTTTTAAATGTATGTATTCCCTTTTAATTCTTCTAGAGGAGAGGGTCCAAACATAAGAATTGTATTGATGGTCAATAGGTATCACACCCTGGCTGTTACAAACATTCTTATCTCTAGATGTTTATATTATCCATAAAGGGAAAGAATGAGTCCCATATCCCCCCATATTCCATCATCTCTTTCATACTTACTAATGCCTTTCTCTTTGGGAGCAATCTTCTCCAAGTCTTTCAATTGAAATACATCTTTCTGGTTAAAAGGGTTTTTAAAAAAGATGAAAAACATAAAATTACTTTCTACTGTATATTTATATTTACCATAATTATGTTCATAAAATAGTGTATTAAAAAACTATGTCTGCAAATGAATAGTGTAATGGAACTGAGCATTACAGAGGAAAAAGAAACTGTATCTCATTCAATACCTTCCACAGAAGTTAAAATGGGCATATTTTTTCATGAGCATACAGTTTTAAGTATTTCATGAACGGAACAAAAAGAACATCTTCTCACTGAAGTAAAAAAAAAAACAAAACTAGCTATGGTGGATCATTTGGTACCATGGAATAATCAGTTTCTCTGAGACTCTGATTTGAAGAAAGTACACAGACACAGACACAGACACACACACACACACACACACACACACACACACACACACACACACGAAAAAAAAAAAACCCAAAACAAAACAAAAGCCTTAGGCTCGCCCAGTGCTGGAAGGATTCCTTGAGTCCAAAATTTTGAGGACAGCTTGGGCAGCATAGCAAGACCCCATCTCAAAAATAAAGTAAGGAAGGGATAGGAGGGAGGCACAGGAGGGAGGGAAGAAGGAAAAAAGAAAGAGAGGGAGGGAGGAGAGAAAAAACAAAGAGATGCAGTGCTTTGCTTAGCACATCTCACTCCACAGGCTGACCAGTTCCAACTAAAAGTTAAAAAGACAGCTGTTGAATTTTGTTTACATTTAAGGTTATGGAGCAGTTAACCCTAATGATAGAAAAATTATACAATTCTTGCTGTCTCTAAATCATTCATCCATACATATTGCATGCTCAATACATGCAGAGCAAAATCTTGTGGGAAAATACGCACATAGAATATTTAATCTGGTGGTCAGAGGAAACAATTTGTGCTGAATATTTCTTTCTTCTTTGTTAGTGGTAAAAGGAACTTGGACAATGAAAGTGAAGTTGTTTGAAAAGACTAAAGTATTCAATAATTAGAAAAGAAATACTATGGTCGTTATGGAAATCTGGGATCCATTTCATTCAAAATAAAAGGCAAGAAATGAAACATCAAAAAAGTTTAAAATGTCTGCTCATCCAAACTTCTGTCCTAAGAAACTAAAAGTATAATATACTCTAGAAGAAAATAGCTACAAAACATATACTATACATATACAGAAGACTGGTACCCAAAATATACATAAAGAACTCCTTTGAAGTCTATGCAAAACAAAAAGAATCAATGAATGCATAAAGGAGTGGACTAATATATTTGTAGACCCTTCATAAGCTGTCATTATTAACAACCTTGTTTTAAAAAGATTTCCAAAACTGCTGGTAAACCATTTATGATTAGAGGCAGCAAGGCACATAGTGCTTTGTTAACTAATTTTCTAATTTAACTCAAAAGATAATTCATATTCACTGTAGGTGACAGAAAATAGACAATACAACCCTACCACTGCTAAAATGTATAATAACCATACTGCAGTCTACTTTTCAGATTCTACTTTACACAGTAAGCTTTCTCCCATGGCGCTGCATTTCAGGGCCACCATCCACATTTAATGCCAAATTCAATACACAATGCTGTAGCAGCCATATTATAGTTTGTTGAAATTTTTCTTATTAACAGTGGAATTAGCATCCAGAGTCTACAAACTGTGAACCGTATTAATGATTTGTATGAATTGCTGAAGGGCTAACATCTAGTATCATCAGTCAGTCTGGATCCTGAATATACTATGTTCCATTTAAGTAAGAACAGAGGTAATGTTCTCCATTACTTTTCTAAAATTCATGGTTATACTTTTCAATTCCATAAAAATATCTAATAGATTAAAAAAATGAGTGGCAATGTCTTATGTGGCAATGTAGAAAAGGAACAAGAATATATGAAGTGAATGAAATCAACAGAATTAATTTCCAGCTTTGCAGAGAAGCACACTGATACTGAATTTTTTGTTTTGTTTTTTTGAGACAGGGTCTCCCTGCAGCCCCAGTTGACCTGGAACTCACGAAGAACAGGCTAGCCTTGATCTCAGAAAGCCACCTGCCTCTGCTGCCTGAAGGCCAGGATTAAAGGCGTGCACCACCACACTACACAGATATTGAACTTCTTTAAGCTGCTAGTACCCACTGTGTCTTTAGTGTCAAAATGTCCGTGAGGGGCAAAGTCACAGTAGTTAATCATAAATAGCCATCTTTGATATTTGAGACAATATCGTAAGGATAAAATATTTTCACTGATTACTTTCCTTAGCTTTCTAGTGCCTAGTAGACATTTAAATGGGCTTTTCTTGCTCTAAGACTACAGGAAAAAAATTTCAACTCAGCAGAAGAAAATTTTGAAATATAAACTTTATCAATTTATCTTAACGATAGCCTGTTATTAATATTATGAATATGATATCCTTTTCTGAATTGGCAATGACTTTAAGGAACAAAGGTTAGGCCTAGAGGGCAATTCTTAAAAAGTCCCCAGACTAATGAGCTTGTTTTATTGAGAATCTCATTATCAACATGAAAAGAAATTTTGCCAATGTACTATTTTATTTTACCACTTTCTCCCATCTGTATGGGATAAAAATAGCCAGTTTGGCTAAAGGTCCTTCTGTCCTAGTTTGTTTCTTCATTGCTGTGACAAAACACTCTGACCACTACCAACTCAGGGAGGAAAGGGTTTATTTATCTTAATCTCCTGGGTCACAGTTCATCAGGGAGCCCAAGGTAGGAACCCAAGGTCGGAACTCAAGGCAGGAACCTGGAGGCAGGAGCTGGGGCACAGGCCATGGAGGAACACTGCTTACTGGCTTGCTCCCCTGGCCCCTGCTCAGCCTGTTTTCTTATGCAACACAGGCCCACATGCCCAGGGGTGGCACCACCCACAGTAGGCTGAGCCCTCCCACATCACTCAACAATCAAGAAGGTACCCCATGGACATGGCCACAGGCCAGTCCAATGAAGGCAATTCCCCAATCGAGGCTCCCTCAACCCAGATGTGTCAAGTTGACACTAAAGCTATCTAGCACACCTTCCAAATCATATGAAGTTAATAGTTTTTTTAGGTAAAAGGCCTGTTTGGATTTGTTTAGACTTGAATCTTGAGGTTCCCAAAAAGCCAGTATACAGGAACACAGTAAAGAAAGTAAGGTCTAGCGTCAGGTGCCTGGTTTTAAACTCTGACTCTGCCACTCAGCAGAGCTGAAACTTTCAACTTATTTACTCTCAGTGACAGGCACAAACATCTGGACTAAATTAAGGAGGCCTGTGTATCATCATATGTGTTATGCTGCAGACAGGTGGATAAATGCAAAGCAGCAGCATTTTTGCATTCCTGCTAAAAACAGATGATCCTTCTTGGGTTGAACCCTGGTAACAGCCATTCTTTTTTGAGATCTAGGACAGGCTTTTCAGGCACTCTGTCTCAGATGTCCTCTTTGTAAAACAAAGCTGATGACCAGAATACCTGCTTCACAGAATGCCTGTAGTGCTTGGAGATGTGGTTGGTACTTGAGTGGAGTTCAGTAAACTGTTATTGTTTTCAGACAGAAAGAGGTTACAATCAAATGTACGACTGGGAAAGAGAATTCTGTTATCAGTCTATAGGACATTCTGAGTAAGAGACTACGAACAGAGGATATAGTTCTCTCATATCCCATAGTTCAGAAGAACCACAAAGGTCTGCAGAATTTACCCATCCTTCCAGAACCTGGTCAGTAAGGATCTCTAATAAGAGACTGTTAACATTAAACTACCTAACAAGAAAATACACAAATATACTGTGAAATTACATTTTATGTGAAAATTACAGAAAATACTAACAATATTAAGGAAAAGAACTTACTGTCTCAAAAAATATTTCCATCATGCGAGTTCTCTTTTCTTCTGCACTGAGTCCTTTCTTCTTTGACTAAATCACAAAATTAAAAAGAAAAAAAGAAGTTTTTTTTTTTTTTAAATGGCATTTTATAACAACTTGGCAATAGCATTACCTTAAATTTTCAACATGATTTTGTCTGATAAACAGGTTTATCACTCTCAAAGCTAGAGACTCATTTTAACTACTCCAAGCCAACTCTTGAAGCAGGGGATGCCAATGGGATAACAGGAATGACTGAGATGGAAACTTGTATTTCGTAGAAATTTAATTTTTGTAAAGAGAACTGGTGACAAACCTTTGCATTTACTTTGAAAAGGTTTACAACCTCCATGAAAATGACCACTTATAACCAACGAATTGCTACATGTACAAATTGTTGCATAAAGACCCAGGACAGAATTAATTAATTCCACCTGGGAATGGAAAAGGGTTATGAAGGAAAGGAAGCTAGAGATGAAAGGATCTGGTGAAATTGGGAAGTGGGGAAACAGATATTCTGTGCAGACTATGTGTGCAGGCACAGTGCTACCCACCCAAGTGCAGGACAGGCACTGCGACACAGGAGTCGGATGGATTCTGCAGAGGGAGTGAGTGGCAGATGAGATCTGAAGGCTGTCTAGGACCAGATAATGCAAGGCTAACTAGGAAGAGAGAGGATTTTATCTAAACAGTGAATAAATACTGAGGGACTTCTAAAGCCCAGGAGTGATGAGATTTAGTTACATCTAAGTATAAGAATGGCTGTAGCAGTGTGCAGGGTAAGCCAGAGGGGGGAAAAAAAAAAAAAAAACTATCCAAGTGGAAAATGGAAGCCTGTAATACCTTTATCCAATTTGAAAGTAAAATAATATGTAACTGAAATATATAATTCTTGCTACATATTAATACATAGTTAATTACACAGAATTATCAGTTTAAGTCCCCCCTTTTTTTTTTTTAAAGAAGAGCTAAGGGGCTGGAGAGATGGCTCAGCAGTTAAGAGCACTGACTACTCTTGCAGAGGACCCAGGTTCGATTCCCAGCACCTACAAGGCAGCTATAACCTGTCCTTAACTCCAGTTCCAGGGGAATCCGAAGCCCTCTTCTGACCTCCACAGCATTACATGACATAGGTGCACTCACATACATACAGACAGTACACTCATACACATAAAATAAAAATAAGAAATAAAATATTTTTTTAAAAAAGAGCTAAATTTCTTCAGTGTAAAGATTGTAAGAAAAACAAAAACAATATGAGAAATATCACCTGACTAGGATGATACTTTTTTTTAAACATATATGTATGTACATATGCACACATTCATACACCACAGAGCATGTATAGAGGCCAGAGAACAATGTTTGGGGCTGGGTTCTTTCCTTAACCATGTAGATTCCAAAGACTGGTCACCAGGCTTGGCAGTAAGCGTCTTTACCTGCTGAGCCATCTCACTAGCCCTAACATTTCTTTGAATGTACTGTGTCTTTCTCAAAATTTTCAGAAAATCATAAGAAAACAAACTGGTTATTTGAAAAGCAGACATAATAAGATACAGACTGATCTTATGAAACCAAAAACTCCATCAGAAAGTATCAATCTACAACAGGTGAGAAAAGGAGCTTCCAATGGCCATTTTCCAAATTAGTATTTTTTCTTCCTCCTCCCTCCTCTTCTTTTACTTGCTCTCAAACACTGCAGTACCCCCTGGAATCAACTAATGATCCCTTCCCCTCCTCAAACTTCAGTCTCTGTATTTACTTGTGTTGAGACCACAAATCTTTACACCTGACCCTGAATACATTCCTGAACTTTAGTCTCATGTATCTACCTGTCTGTTGGATAGACTTCAAACACAAGTGGATCCAAATTGAATTCTTCCTCTCCTACATTTCTCCAAACCTGCTATTCTGTATCTTGAGTCTCAGATACTGCCTTTTATCCATGCCAGAGGCCTGGCAGTCATCCTAGGTGCCTTCATCTCTTTACCTCATATCCAAGCAATCACCAAGATCCACCAACAGTAGTGCTTAACTATTCTCTAATAGGTCCTGCCTAGACCACTCTATTACTTCTGCCTGGGTTCAAGTCTTCATTGTTCATCACCTGTACTGTATCTTCAGTTGCCTAAAAACACATTTTTGTCTCAGCCTCTAAATTCACATTTCATATTACGGAAAGAAATGAATCTATCCATGGTCTCCCTTGCTTAAAACCTTTCTATCATTCCAACCCATCCTGAGTATCCAAGTACCCCTAATAGGTTATAAATGGCTTTCTATCACCTCACTCCAACCTATCTTTTTGTTTTTTGAGATAAGGTCTCCCTGCAGCCCAGCTGGCCTGGAACTCCCTATATAGGCCAGGCTGGTGTTGGTCTCACAGAGATCCACCGGTCTCTGCCTCTGAGTGCCAGGACTAAAGGAGAGTGCTACCACTCCCAACCCCAAGCTCTCCTTTAGAGTGTTTTCCCATCTCAATTTACCATAACAATATCAAGAACTATGCAATCTGGATTGAAATACAAAAACTACTTCCAGAATTCTCTAGTGGAAGCATGCTGTCATTTCTGAGTCTTTAAAAAAATGTTGTTCCTCTGCCCAAAACACTGCTTTGAGCACACTCAACTCCAAAAGGTCTCTCATGCTGAGTTTAGGCACTCTCTCTCCTGAAGACTTCCCTTTGCTAAGCTCACAGGCTGAGTATGTAATCCCAGGGCACATTTTTAACAAATTATTTACTACACTGAAGAGATAGGTTTATTTATCGCTCTCATCAGACAGAAAATTCAGAATATTTACTGCCTTTTGCCTTCCCAGGGTTCAGGCAGCCAGGTGAGTTGAGCACAGCAGACATAAAGATCAGCCCCGAACTTCAGGACCACAATCACTAAGGCCCAAACTCTAAAACTTGAGGCTGCTCAAGCGTCCAATCCCACAACACCTACCATACAATATCTATACAATATAGATACAATATAGGGTGAACTGAGTAACAGAAAACTTGTGATATTTAGCTTAGTTGCAGAAAGAAATTAGACGGCTCTCAAGTAGGGCAGACACGCTCCAGGAAGCAAGAGCTGCAGAGCTGTGGACTAAACCCAGGGAGAAGAGCTAGAATCCACAGGTGTGCTTTATAATCCCTTTTCACACTGTTCTCTTGCAGTATCCAAGCCAACCATGAAGTCCACACACAGTAAAAGATTCAACTCATTTTCTTCACACCAGAGAGTACCAAAGTGTCATACATTAGACTCATCACAGGAACTTTTAAAAATGCTGGTGCCCAAGTTACCCTGTATGAGCTGAAGTAGAATCTAGGATGGGCCCTGCACATTTTTTTTTTTTTTCTTTTTTTGGTCTTTTTGAGACAGGGTCTCCCTGCAGCCCCAGCTGACCTGGAACTCAACACGTAGACCAGGCTGGCCTTGAACTCACAGAGGTCCACTTGCCTCTGCCTCCTAAGTGCTGGGATTAAAGGTGTGCGCCACCATGCACAGCTGGCCCTGGACATTTGTATTTTAAAAATCTTCTTCACTTGTTTTAACTTGCTTTTCTCAGTAGAATTCTGAGGATGTCAGGTTCTCTGAGGGAGCAGTGAAAATCTCTTTAGGACTCTTTGGCCTGTATCAGCAGAAAGCATATCTCAAATTTTGGGAGGGTAAACCTAGTATTCTGATATGATAAACAGTTCCTAGAAAGTATCTTGTACTCCGTAAGAATTGACCCCCACCCCCAGGCAGGCAGTAAGGAGGAATCTAATGTCCTAGGGTATACAGTTTAGGAAAGCCCTCAAAACTCAACAAATATAAAGGTTATTCAAGAAACGCAGATGAATAATACCATACATTTACATTCTTTTCAGGCTGGTTTATTCCCCAGTCTCTTTTAAGACAAATTATTACTAATCATAGTTACAGACTACTAAGTCCATAACTAAAATAACTAACATGAAAGAAAATTAGCAAGGACTCATTTAATACTTTAAGACTGGAGGGGTGAGGCTGGGGAGGAGGTGGTCTCCTGAAAACACAGTAGAGATGCCTTCAAATTAGTAAGGAGACTCAAAACAACCTGAGGACTAGTGCACTTCCTACTTGACTGAGGTACTTGAAAATATTTTGCTGGACGTGGTGGCGCACACCTGTAGTCCCAGCACTTGGGAGGCAGAGGCAAGTGGATCTCCGTGAGTTCAAGTCCATCCTGGTCTACATAGTGAGTTTCAGGTCAGCTAGGGCTACAGAGAGACCCTGCTTCAAAGAAAATTTATTATTTTTATTTAATGTGTATGAGGATTTTGCCTCCATGTGTGTAAATGCACCCTTGTTGTGCAAAGCCCATGTAGGTCAGAAGAGGGTGTTGGATCCCCTGGAACTGGAGTTACAGACAGTTGTTAGCTACCGTGTGGGTGCTGGGAATCAAACCCAGGTCTTCTACAAGAGCAGTTAGTGCTCTTAATTGTTGAGCCATCTCTTCAGTCCCAAGTGAAGCACTTTAAACCACTTTTTAAAATCCTGTATCCAAGGAGCCTTCTCCAATTAGTAGTTACAGAATTCCTACTATCAGTCCTGTTGATCACTTTTAATAACATTTTGAAAAATTAAAAAATGTCATTTGTGGTTCTCAGAGTTGACGTCCTCCAATTCCAAAATATAAGCCTAGACTTATTAACTGTTTACCCAACAAACACAATCAACCCAAAACAATGTTAGTAATTCACAATTAGGAAAGAGATCAAGAGTTATAGCAAGTAAGTATATGAAGAGTTAACAGCCATATTAAATCTCTTAGTATTAGGTGATTACTGTATAAAGAGATTAGGTAAAGAACCAAGGTACTTTTAACTTCAAAGAGAAGCCTGAAAACACAAAGCGCTGGTAATAGGTTTGTTTCAAGTCTAGGCCTATCGTTCCTTGGACCATTTTATGCCCAGGTGGTTGGGTTGTTGGTTTAACCACAAAGAAACCGTTACCAGTTATAATTACAGCTGGGCAAGTATTTTCAAATAAATCTCCATAACCTAATCTTTGTCCGCCATTCGTTCAGCAAAACGGCCACTTAACTAAATTAAGATATTAAAATTTCAGATCCATTTAATGACACGTTGATTCTCTGCCAATAGCAGCTGAAAGAATGGCGTGAAACTTTGAAGTTGATGAAAAGGGCTCTGAGAAGCAGAAAGACTTTAAGTTCACAAAGAGAAAGCAACCGGGAGTTGGACCAGGGCAACCTGCAGGCTAGGTGAAAAGGCTCCTAATAAAAGGACAAACAGGCTGACTCCTGCCCTTTGGTTAAAGAAATAAGGATGCTCACTGATAACGACCTGCATGAGCTAACCCGCAAAGTGAAGGCCCGCAGAGTTACTGTGAACTTTGGACAGTCGGGACTGTGCAGGACCCAGCGCAGAGGTGGGGATGCAACCGGAGGGACGCGCTCGGGCCCCTACCCGGGCCCCTCCCCTTCTGCGCCAAGTAAACACTTCAACCTCCGCTCACGCTCCCTGCGCGTGCGCCTTGGGGCTCCGGGCCCGCTGTTTCCGGGGTGCCCAGCTCCCCGCGACTCAGGGTCTCCTGACCAGCCCGACTTGGCCAGATTCTCGGTTCGCGAACGCGGACGGCGTTCCAACCCGGCGGCCGCCCTCCGCCTCCTCGGGCTCCGGCTCAGGACGGCCCAGCAAGAAGCGCGGCCTAAAGGCGTCGCTGCGGCCTCAGCGGGCGCCCCGCCGGTTCTCCGGGACCGCACGCGTTTTAGCCGCGACTCTTACCATGGTGCGGGCGGCGGGCCTTCCTGCGACGGGGCCTGCGCGAAGCGTGGGGCGAGGCCGGCCAGTACACAGTCTTTGATTTTGGCGCCAACCACCACGCGGGGGCGGGACAGCGGACGGAGAAGCGGAGGGGAGGGTGGCCCCGGCCCACGGAGCGCAGCGCCGCTTAGCGGCTCTCGGAGAGGTGCGGGCGGGGGACCGAGTGGGAGGACTGCTGGGATGGGGCGGAGCCTGGGAAGAGGAAGGCCGGGATGGGGCGGGGCCTGCTGGGATGCGGGGCTTTGGGTTGGAGGGGTGTGCAGGTAACGGCCGGGATGGGTGTGGGACCTGAGATGGGGAAGATTGAATTGAGATTGAGGGGACGGCTGACAAGAGGGTGGGGCCTGAGATTTGCCTGATGGCCTGGATGGGGCTGAGGCCACAGATGGGGAGGACGGCCAGGGTCGGGTTGGGCCTGAGGGGGAAGACCAGCCTGAGACTGGAGGACCCACTGAACATTCCACTGGGAATCGGACCCGGGGGCCCTCGGCAAAGAGCAGCTCTTCACAGCTGAGCCATCTCTCCGACCCCCACAAGGAGTTTTTTTTAAGTGCTGGATAGTGAATCTAGGGCTTCAGGCACACCAGGTAAGTGCTGTACTGCTGAGGCACATCCTCAGCCACTAAAGACGGTTATTGCTTTTCCCTAGTGACTAGAACAGTACCTGGACATACTGCTACATAAGAAATACTTGCTAATCAGGGGCCGGAGAGATTGCTCAGTGGTTAAGAGTACTGGCTGCTCTTGCAGAGGACTCGGGTTTGGTTCCCATCACCCATATTGCAGCTAACAGCTCTCTGAAACTCCAGTTCCAGGGGATCCGACACCCTCTTCTGACTTTGGTGGGCCTTGCACTACATGGGTGCACCTCCCTCCCTACATGCAGGCAATGCACTCATACACATAAAAATAATAAAACATTTTTTAAAAAGTCTTGCTACTATATGAATGTAGAAGCAGCCCATAGCTTTGTTAAGCATTGGTCTGTGTCATCAACCTATAGTAAGCTCCTGGGTGGGACAGCTTCATTGTCTTTATATCCCATCCACTCTGGTGTGCCACATGTAAACTATAGCAAGATCTAAAGACAGAAGGGTGGTAGAATTTTCTGCTTACCCCTGCCTGTCTTCACTTAGGCAAGGACAAGCAGCAGTTTTAATTGAACTCCACCTCTCCAGGAAGGGGTGCAGCTGGCTCCATGTAAAATGTTTTCCCAGTGAACAGTGAGATACTAGGTGAACTACAGCATGAACCAAGTGACTTATGGGATGCGCTGCTCTTTAAGTCTGAAAGCTGCCAAAGGGTCCATGGTGGCCACTGTATCTGCTTGGGGAAAATAAAGTAACACTTAGGAGGCAGGAAGCTCAAGGCCAACATGGTCTACACAGTAAATGCCATGCCATGAAGAGTGATTGATACAGTAAGACCTGTCTGGATCAAAACAATAAAAATATAAAGAACCGATATGGGCATTAATATTCATAATCAGGACTCAGGACTGTCAAATTGGGTCTTTTTTCTAATTTCTGTTGTTTGATCTTTCCTTCTAAGACTAACAGGTCATTTTTTTTTTCAGAGCTCCAATCTGTTCTGAAATAGACAATTCTGAAATAGAAACCTTTTTGAAAGTGATGACATTGTGGATAGACACTAAGAAGTGCTTTTCTTGATTTTTGAGGACTGTGCAAACTTACTTGAGAAGACATGGCACACATAACACTTATCACTAAGCGCCCCCAAGACCCTCAACACCAGGACTGTTCACTCTAGATGGTTCTACAGCTTGAAGTACACATCCGGTAGTTTGGCATAATATAGAAATTCTTATTGTATGGAACTATGTGTAAATAAATTCCAGGCCCAAAGAATACTATGTGTGGTGAGGTCCTTCTTGAGTCATTGGCCCCCTAAAATATGTCTGTCAGGACCACCAGAAGGTCACTTTGCCTTGAAATTCTTTAAGGATTATAAGGATAGTGATTCAGATCTATTTTTATAGTTCTCTTTTAAAAGAATTTAAAATTTATTTTTAGTGTATGTGTTTTGCCTGCAGTGTATGTAAGTGCACCTATTCCTACAGTGCCTTCGAAGGCCAGAAAAGGATGTCTGATCCCCTGGTACTGGTTGTTAGTTGCCATGTGGGTGCTGAGAACTGAACTGGGATCCTTTGTAAGAGCAACCAGTGCTCTTAACCTCTGAGCCATTTCTCCAGCCCTTTTTCAATAACTTTCTGAGTAAACTGTTTTACACATGTCAGGATTTTCCCAATTTCTGTTTAAGATATATACACCTGAAATGCTAACAGGTGGTTAGGAACACAACTGACAAAAATGTCACTAAGCTTTTTTTCCCCTGTAGTCTAAAGAACTTGGTTGGGGTATTGTGGTCTTCTGCTCATTCTAGAACACACCTCCATTTCCCTTCACTTTGGTAACAATCTGTTAAATGAATATTAGCCCCAAATGGAGAAAACAAGCTTTATTGTAATGATTTGAGATTTTTGTGCATGGTAAAGCTATACACATGAATCTTGTTTCTCCTATGTTTCAAGACAGAATTAATTTAAAGATTTATTGTAGACTAAAGCATCCAAAATACTGTGATACATATGTAGCTACAAACATACAAACACTTTTGATGCACAGCGTTCATTCTTTAAATAGGCAGTCAGCATTTTGATTCATAAAAGAACAAATGAGGATCTATCAGTATCGACGTCAGAGAGCACAAGACTAGTGTTCTATACACAAAACATAGGAAACAGATCTGTAAGGGTGGAATGTACAAAATCTACAAAGAAACAAAAATAGGAAGCAAAAAACCTTCATACTCATACGTGGGATTGAAAGGCTGCACAATTGAGAATAGTATAAAGAATTCTATTACAAGAATACACTGTTGATGACACAACATTCCCATGTCATAAAGCAAAAGCATAGAGTTTAAGGCTGTGTTGCTTTCAAAAGTCAATGGAAGTGCTGTACATTCATTGGAACAACATAGCCAATTTATTAATCTCTTCGAGAATATTAATTGATAGCATCCATACATTCTCCACAAACAGACTACACAATCGCTACCACACAGTTCATCTTCAGAACATTTTTAAGATTAGCATCATGATTTGTAGCCTACTTGTCATTTAAAACAAACCCTCCAAATTATTTACTTATACCAAATAAATTTTTAATGGGCACTTAGTTTCCTTTATGGCAATACTAGATTCCTAGTTATCAAAAATATTAAAATAACTGTAAAATTTAAAACCCTGCAACATTCACAGAAAGCAACAGTATTATGACTTTCAGCTTTAAGGAAAATTAGATAAGGTTTGCATCAAACAGCTTTGATTTTATACTACTTTGGAGATGTCTTGTTTTTAAATCATTCACCAAAACCTCCTCCTGCCGTTTTAGAAGATAGTGAATAGAGAGGATGCAATTGAGTTCAAATACACAAAAAGATTTTTCCCATTTGAAGTAATCTCCAGATTACTTGCTGTTGATCTGTTCTCTCCAGTTTACACAGTAGTTATTACCAAAGCATTTACACAACCTTTTCGTGTAAGGATCATAGACACTTGGTAATGTACCGCTCTTCTAGTTCATTCCATATTAGGACATACCCTGTATATTTAGTAGTGGAAGCAAGTGTGCAACAGCTGCATGGATTGGGGGCATGACTTGCCTCAAATTTCACTAAGTTTAGGAAGCTCAGGGGCTTGTTTAGTTACAGGAACCTAAGTTTCATTAAAATATTACACATCATTTAAAAACTAGCAAACAGTCATAAAGGCTATCTAGTTGTGTGTTTCTAGATGGTCAAGTGACTGACTACCTGTGTCGGGAGCAAACGCCTTGTTACTGACCTGTGAATCTTAACTGTCCACATTTTGTCATTGGTGCCCAAGGGAAATTTGAAGTTTTTTCTCAGTGCTACTTATCAAGACTGTGTGACAGGTTCTATACATGTGACAAAGATAAATCAAACAGTAACGGTAGTCCAGAAAAAAGCCACTTATTTGAATATCCTTCTTAGTTTACCAGAAACCATTTTCTATAGACTGTGACAAGATTTCATTTAAATCTTGTCTATTTGTATCTTACCGGCAGCACTTTTCCCCCAAAATATGCTTACAGAGAAGAAATAGAGTAAATGCACATATGTATCCAGGTGTAAAATGTTATCTATAATATATACGATTACATTTTTCTTTGAAAATGCAGTCTCTCCTGGAGTGCCCATAGCAAGTGTTTTAGTAGCAGATAGTGGAACAGGTCTAAATTAAATTATTCTTCCATTCCAGTTTGTGCCAAAATTAATGTGTGAAAAACCTTGATTTGTATTCAGTTTCCTATTGCTATATCAAGCCTGATGTGATAATATATGATATGATAGCTGATCAGTTTACAAGTCAATTTCTAAGTTCACAAGAATCAATATTGTGCAAAATTAAAACTCATTAAGTAAACTAAAAATCAATAGTAGAGATGGGGGGGCATAGCTCAGAGGTAGAGCACTTGCCTAGCATGCCCTGAGGGCCCTAGATTCCTTCCCCAGCACCATAAAAAAGAAAAAGAAAATCAATAGTTTGTGGTATAATCTTAAAAAAAGTTCTGCTTGTGCAAATAAGGTAAAATTAATTTACTAATTTTAGAAAAGGCTTTCCTTTTAAATAGTCCAAGAACTCTCTTTCATGCAGAATATTAGTAAACAGCACAACAAAGTTCTCTCCCCAGAATGTAAGCTCTAAGGAGACAGAGATTCTTGTCTGTTCTCTTCATTGCTTTAGTCTCGGTGCCTGGAAATGGTCCTGACACATGATAGGCAGTCTGTAAATGTGAACACTAACATTCAAAGACTTGTACTGCAGGTGTAGCTCAGCTGTAGACCTGCCTAGCATGTTCCAGGCCATGGGTTCCAACCTCAGCATCAAGAAGAAAATTAAAAATTAAAAATAAAGTCAAAGACTTATTTCAGTAGCATTCAGAAACAATGTTTTAGTTTAACATTCTAAAAATGGTATTGAATGTTATGTTTATCACACACAGGCTTTCATATTTTAAAAAAACTATGGAATTTAAAAAGCTAGATCTAAATGTAAATTTTCCTGAAAAGAACTTTTTTCTGATGTTGATTTAGGCATAATAAATTTAATGGATAACTGGAAGTAGCTAGATTTTCCTTCTAAATTTTAAAAAGCTCTATAGAGAAGACAACTAAAATTTAAAATAACAAGAAATAAACATGATCATATAATAGTATCATAGTATGCATGGGAAGTGTCTTCTTGGAGTACAGGTGGAAGGTGCTTTCAATGAAAGAGATCCTAAAGTCATCATAAAAAATGTATAATACGATTTTCTTATTTGGTAGAACTGGGTAGAAAATCAATAGTGGAAACAGACCATATCCTATTGTACAGTATCTGTGACAGGTAACATTTTCAAAATGCGTTTATACTTAATTTAAATTAAAGATAACTCAAAACCAACTTTTAATAATGCCTTTTTCTACATTCCTTCATTTTTCTTGAAAGCCCAGACACCCATTTGCTGACTAGAGGTCAGCTATCATCACAATCCTGGAAAGTGGCAAGAATGGGCTTGCTCCACCAGGATAGCCTCAAACTGCAGTACTAAAGGACTGTGCTGAGGGATGACTGGACAATGCTTCTGTCTTTCAGAGTGCTGCCTATTTCCATACACCAAGGTTATAATACATTCTATCTTACCCTTATCATGTATACATAGTCCCTTAATGCCTCTACTATTCATTAAACAATGATAAATAACCGTAACATGCCCTTACCTGTAATGCTCAACAGAACTTTGGTAACACTTGCTCTCTAAGGGGAAATCATGAATCAATCACATGCCTTTGGTTAACACCATCTGTCCTCCAAAGGGCTGCTTATGGCTCTCTGTCCTAGGATCCTGGTGTCCTACTACATGTGCTGACATTTTGCAGGAGGTAAAGCTTTCGCTTTCATGAAGTGGAAGAGGAAAGACACACGCGACAACATGGCACATGAAACATAACTTTTTCTTGTTTACATTCCAGTACATTGACCTGGAGTTGATGACCAAAAGGTCCCCTTGCTTCTGCCATATGCCTTCCAAAGCATCAGGAATTTCAGGTTTTCCTGAATACACACTCTGTTTTCTGATGCAAGGTGGGCAGGAGAGAAGGTAAAGAAAATGCACAAAAAGGATCTCTGATCAAACCCAGAAAGATTGGGAAATTTGCATTGATTCTGGAGTGCTCAACTCAAGGGGCCCATGAGTCAGAGCTGGAAGGACTTTTGCAAGAAAGCCTTGTAATTTTTCTAAAGTAATTCATATGTAGTTGTTGATAACAACAACAACAACAACAACAAAAGTCACAAGAGTAAAACCTACTGTAAAAGTGAGGTTAGAAGATTCCCCAGGTCCTATGACCTAGAGTAAATAAAATACATAGCTACAAGTTTTGTTCTTGGAAGCTCTGTGCAAAGGCTACCATTCAGAAGTTAACAAATATCTTTACATATCCTAGTTGTTTTTAAGGTTCGATTTGCAAAATTAGTTTAACTACATAAATCCCTGTCCTATAAGCCATAGTTCACAGGTGTAAAACATTGCAGTTTGTATAGATTCAGTAGAAGATATTCTTTTTAAATCCTAAAAGTGAATTATGGAAATTGGATAAGCAGTTTTTAAGGAAATTGTTACATTCAGAAATAGCCTTGGAAAGTTCATCAAAGATTCTTCCTGGTATGAAGATAATCATAGTCTGGTCCCACGTCGAGAACTCCATTCCAGTTTATAGTGCAAGACCTCTGTAAGGGGTATCTGCTGCTACTGTAAGTACCGATAGACCTTGAAACAGTGATTTCCAGAGTCTGCAACCACAACATGGCCATCTGAAGTTAGGGCCAGACCTTGGGGGCCATAGAGTGGGTCAGCAGATGTGTTAATGTAGGACAAAAATGATCCGCTCCCATCAAAAACCTGCAAAAATGCAAAATTAGGACATTACATAAGTTACAGCAATATTCTTTAATACAAATATAAAAAGTAATAGATGAACATTCTTAATACAAAGGCATGTAAGTAACTTTTTAGGTTTGCTCAGGCCACTGTACATATACAATCTGTGATGGTTCATCTTGGTTGCCAACTGAGTTACATTCCCAACCCAGATGTCCACTGGGATAATTAAGCAAGATACATGTATTGGAGAAAGAAAAGCATGTTGTGTTACATTGATAGTCTCAATTCTTTTTCTGAGGAGTAGATACTTAAGATTCAAACTGATAATTGTTGGTGTCCCCACGGGAACATCTGAGTACTACTAGATTCAATCAATGCACTCCAGGGTCTTGGTGCACACAGAGCCACACAACAAGGGTATGTAAATGTGCACTTTAGACCCACACAGATGTGAACGCAGAGAAATGGGAGGGAAGAGTCTTTCTTCAGTTTGAGGATTTAAGACTGCTTTTTAATACAGAGTAAAAGAACAAACTTTTATGTGCATGACAAAGACTATAGATCGTCTTAGAATTGCATTATTTACTTAAGATTTATTTTGTTTTTACTTATGTGCATATCTGTGTGTATGTGCAAGTGTGTGGGTGACCCAAGAGGGCATCAGGTCCCCTGGAGTTGGAGTTATAGGTGGTTGTGAGCCACCCAATGTAGGTACTGGGAACCAAATTCTGGATCTCTGCAAGAGCAATAAGCACTCTTACGCAGTGAGCCATCCCTAGTACCCTTAGAATTGTATTTTTAATGCTTCTTTTTCTCGACATCCAATTGTTATTACCTTTGATGCTTAAGTTGTGAGCCTGAGCCTATAACAGCTAAGCCATCTCTCCAGGCCAGTTTTATTATTTTTCGCACTCAACCAAAATGTCAAATGCCGTTCTTAACACTATTATTCCTAAGCCATGAAAATATAATTTCATCCTTATTTGTTTTTGCTAAACATTGGGCATGCTTTGTTATTACACCGGAATGTTGTCTGTCTTTTAAAAATTAGCAATTGCAAATGGCATTGTATTTTGAGTTTTGTTTGCCATTTGTTGGTTTTGTTTTCTTGATTTATATTCTGTGATCTTGTGCTCACCTATCCGTTCTAGGACTTTTTTGGTAGATTCTTTGTCATTTTACAGGGAAATGATCATGTTATTTACAAATGGGGAGAGTTTTCAGTTGCCCCTTTCTAACTTGTAAGCTTTTTGTCCGTTTACTAAAGGAACAAACTTCCAGCACTATGCTGAGTAAGAATGGCGAGAGCAGATACCTCCGTGTGCCTTGTTGGCAGCCTTACAGGGAAAGGATTCCTACTCCCCACCCAGTTCCATAGATGCTCTTACATACTGACAAACATACTGTATAGGTTTTGGGGATGTTCTTTATCTAGTTCAGAAAGAGTCTATCCCTAGTTTTCTGAGAGTTTTGTCATGAACAGGTGTTAAATGTTGCCAATCAGCTTTTCTGCATTGACCAATGTTATATGATTTTTGTTTTTTAGATTTTAATAGCACTTGTTACACTTATTGATTTTCACACACAAAAGCAGTCTAGCATCCTTATAATAAACTCAAGTTGGTCTTCAAGGATTTTTAAATATTGCTGAATTATGTTAATAGTGTTTTGCGTGCGTGCGTGCGTGCGTGCGTGCGTGTGTGTGTGTGTGTGTGTGTGTGTGTGTGTGTGTGTGCATGTATCTTCTGATTTTGGTACCAGACCCACGGTTTTAAATATTGCTGAATTATGTTAATAGTGTTTTGCGTGCGTGCGTGCGTGCGTGTGTGTGTGTGTGTGTGTGTGTGTGTGTGTGTGTGTGCATGTTTAGTCTGATTTTGGTACCAGACCTTTGGAAACTGAGTTGCATGTTAAGTTGGGAAGTGCTCCTTTGTTTCTATTGTTCTGGGAGAAAACTGTAGAATTGGTGGTATTTCTTCCATAAAAGTTTAGTACAGGGGCTGCAGAGATGGCTTAGCAGTTAAGAACACTGGCTGTTCTTGCAGAAGACCTGGGTTCGAATTCCAGCACCCACATGGCAGCTAACAACTGTCTGTAACTCCAGTTCCAGGGGATCTGACAGCCTCTTCTGTCCTCTGTGGGCATTGCACGACATGGGTGCTCTTACCTACATGCAGGCAATACACTCATACACATAAAATAATAATAAAAAAAAGTTCAGTACAATTTTTCAATGAAACTAAGTCTAGATTTTTTTTTGAAGTTTTAAAACCATGTACTAAAAGTCCTTAAGGCTATTCAAATTATTTATTACATATAGGGTGAGTTGTGGAGTTTGTAGTCTCTTTCATATGTGTTCAAATTTATATAAGTAATGTTTCTCACAGAACTCCCTTATAATCTACTTGACATCTTTGGGGTCTGTAGTAATACAGTCTCTCTCTCTCTCTCTCTCTCTCTCTCTCTCTCTCTCCCTCCCCCCCCACTCTCCCTCTAGTCTTGCTGAATGTTTGTTGATTTTATCAGTTTTTCAAAGAACCGATTTGCTGATTGTCACTATTGTTATTCGGTGTTGGACTTCATATCCTGTCTTCACTACTATCTCCTTCTCCTTGGTTTGGGTCCTTCAGCTTTCGTTTTTTTCTAGTTCCTTGAGGTATGTGATGGATAATATTGATTATCAATCTGACAGGACCTAGAATCACTTCAGAGGCAAACCTCTGGGCATGTCTATGAGGGGTTTCTAGATTTACGTGGGAAGACTTAAATGTGGACAGCACCATTCCATGGACTGGGGTCCTAGGCTAAATTAAAAAGAAGAAAATGATGGGGCTGGAGAGATGGCTCAGCGGTTAAGAGCACTAGCTGCTCTTGCAGAAGACCTGGGTTTGAATCCCAGAACCCACATGGCAGCTAACGACTGTCTGTAATTCCAGTTCCAGGGGATCTGATGCCCTCTTCTGACTTCCACAGGCATTGCATGACCTGGGCATACTTACATACATACTCAGTTCCTTCTCGGGGCCTTATGGTTTCTGGGTCTCCTGACCCTGAACAAATAAATAATAGTTTTTAAAAAGGAGAAAATGAGCTGAACACCAGCATTCATCTCTCCCTGTTTTCCTCAGGCTCCTGCCATCATGATTTCTTTGCCATGACAGATAATACCTTCAAACCAAAATAAAGTTTTATTTGCTTACGTTGCTTTTATGAGGAACTTCTGTTACAGCAATGAGAAAGTAACCAATACCAGGTGGGAGCTTAGATTGTTGATTTAGACTATCCATTTTTTCTATGCTAAGCCTTTAAGCCTATTATTCCAGTTTTAACATTTCTGCTAAATTCCACAAAATTTCATATGTCATATTTACATTTTCATTCAGTCCAATATATTTTAAATTTTTTCTTAAAACATCCTCTTTAAGGGACAGGAGAGATATTTCAGTGGTTAAGAACACTGGCTGCTCTTGCAGAGGACCTGGGTTCGATTCCCACTACCCACACAGCAGTCAACAACCATCTGTAATGCCAGTTTCAGGGGCTCTCTTGCCCTCTTCTGACCTCCATGGGTTTTGCATGACTTTGGTGCACTTACATACACGCAGGCAATACACTCATACATATAAAATAAAAATAATAAAATGTTTTTTAAAACTTCCTCTATTTTAAAAAACTTCCTCTGACTCATGGGTTATTTAGTGCAGTATCATTTTTAAATAAATAAAATAAAACAGAGGATTATAAATGAAAACATTTAAGTCTAATTATTAAAATATTACAAAATTATATATGGTGAACTGTAATTTCAGCACTCAGGAGGCTGAGGCAGGAGAATTTCAGGATTAGAGGCCAGTGTAGGTTACATAGAAAGGAAATTTACTACCAGCTCAGGCTACATATTGAAATGATGCCTCAAAGAAAAGAAAAAAATGTGAAATTAAGATATAGTAATTATGTGTGCATGTAGAATTCTTTTTCTTTATTTTTTTTAGTTATAGGATCTCAAGTTGACCAAACTGGCCTTGAACTCTTTATGTAGCTAGTCAAGTGTCACACATTAGGCTTTGTATGTATGCTTCTTAATTGGCACATTCAATAACAAGAAACAGTGATAGCAATGAACATAAAGGACAGTTTGAGATGTCTGCAAAGACTAACATGACATAAAAATTTCTGTCATTTTTCTTGGTATCATAGATACTACTAATATTACTGATTGCCTGTATTCACAATTAAGGGAAATGATGCCCTTCACTTAGTGGTTAGTAAAAACATCGATGCAGTACTTTTGTTCTGTGGATCTTTTGAATCCTATTTATGAACACCTTAGAGGTCTTTAGGATCCATATTAATATAAACAAATTAGCTTTTTGTGCTCGTGCTGGACTTAGAGGAAGCAGGTCTACACATGTAGAGCAACACCTGTGTGTTCATGGACCTGTGCATGCCACAAAAATGTTCCCTGAGCAACCACATCATTGATATGAAGGACCACACATCCATCCAGATGAATGTGCCTGAGGTTGGCAAGGTAATGTGGCTCAAATGGAGAAGGAAATGGGCAGTTTAATGCACCCACTTTAAATGCCCAGTTTAAAACCTATGCTATCTGTGAGGCCATTCGAAGGATGGGTGAGTCAGATGATTCTGTTCTCTGATTGGCAAAGTCTGATGGCATTGTTTCAAAGAACTTCTGACTAGAAGAAATTGGGGAACATTTGTCATAAATAAACAATGAAAGCCCAACAACCAACCCCTCCTCCCCCTTGCAAACAAAATGAATAAAAAATAACAACCTTAAGCTACAGGATTTCAAGTCAGTAATGTCAACTTTCCTGTTTGGGTGTTTGGTCCTTTAAGTGAGGTCATCTACAGTGTAACAGCCAACCAAGAAGGAAAAATACCCCAGTTTGCAGGACAGCCAATTCTTCACATTTTCTTGTTTGTTTTTTGAGACAGAGTCTCACTGTGTAGCTCTGACTGGCCAGAAACTTGCTATGTAGACCAGGCTGGCCTCAAACTCACAAAGATCTTCTTGCCTCTGCTTCCCAAACACTGGGATTAAAAGCCTGCACTACCACGTGGGTAGTGTCAAAAGTTCTTCACTTTTGACAAATATCAACCATTTCAACCATCCTAACCACATACATTAGCATCTAATATACCTGGATCCTGCTGTTTCCCCAGTCGGCCACAATGATGTTTCCATTCGAATCCACTGCTACACCTGTGGGTGCATTAAACTGCCCATTTCCTTCTCCATTTGAGCCAAACTTCAACATGAATTCTCCTTCCTGATTAAATACCTGTATGAAATATCGAAAATCTATTTTACTGTAAAATAGTTGACGCATATTGTAGATTTAAAAAGTATGTATCTGAGCAAGTTATTTATAACATGACCTGTGATGAGGCATTCTGAGAAAAAGAAAATTGGTCTACAAACTAGGCCCCTATGTCACTTATGATTCCCCAATTTATATATAATCTGATTTATTGTTTATTATATTACTCTTTTTCTGTGGGTTATGTCTGGTTATTAAATACTTACTAAATGTCCTAAATTACAGCCTATTATAAAAATATAAGATGTTATGAGTAGAGCTATAATTTTCAACAATATTAAATATTATTGTATCTTTAAATAAATAGCTTTATTCATTGAATAAATAAAATGTCAAGAATGGGCATTACATTTCTAACAGGATGGATTATCATTCAAGTTGGATCAGAGAATAAGGTTTTATAAGGCCAAATGCTCAGAATTTATTGTAATTTCACATACATAAACATAGTAAGAGAAAGAAAGCTAGACTTCATACTTAGAATATAAGAATTCATCAGTGGTCACAGGTGAAGAATAAATAAGGGCTTTCCAATTTACCCTGAGAAGGTAATAGTTAAAATAGGGAGTTGACATGACTCTAAGACTTTCACAATTAGAAGAAGTAACAAACAGAACTGTTAGATGTGAGGTAAACAGAATTCTTTAGGAAATTTCTTATTCCTGATGTGATGGATCAGTGGGTTACTGTGCTTAATAACTGAATATGCTTATTAATAGAGTGTTACTCTATATGTGTCAAATACAGATTACAGATTTTGAATGAACAATTTAATGTGTTCAATGACAACACCACAATGAACGTAATTTTATCTTGATGCTTCAGATGATATTTAATGGTCTTAAAATATTTCTAGGACATTAAACATCTAATACCATGGTACTTAGATACATAGAGGTATTTATTATCACATCGACAGGTCTTATGTTCAAGGCACCTTTAGAATGAGGATTTCTTATGTGTGGACCTCTGAGAGTTCACTGTATTTGAGCACAGATCTAACTTGAGGATGATCTCCAAATCTTTTGGGTCCTCTTTGGTTCTTTAGAAACAAGAACAATCAGCTTTTACGACGATGTCATGTTATAAAATATGCCCTACTCAGGGCTAGACATGTAGCTGTAACTGAATGATAGAGCACTTGCCCAGCATGTATAAAACCCGAGTTTGATCTTCAGCAAGGAGAAAGAAGGAAAGAAGTGGGGGAAGAGGGAGGAAAGGAGGGAGGAATGGACTGAGGGAGCAGAGAGTGTTTTAAAAGTTTCCTGGACCCTTAGTCATTGGCCATTTACATACAACATTGTAGGGTGTTTTGTTTTGTTTGTTTGTTTGTTGTTGTTTTGAGACAGGGTTTCCTTGTGATCCCAGCTGGCCTGGAACTTGCTATGTAGACCAGGCTGGCCTTATCTCACAGACATTTGCTTGCCTCTGCCTCCTTCCTGAATACTGGCATCAAAGGCATGCGCCACCACGCCTGGCTTACAGTTTTTTTGAGACAAGGCTTCGCTATGTAGCTCCAGCTGGCCTAGAACTCACTATATAAACCAGGCTGGCCTTGAACTCACAGAGATCTGCCTACCTGTACATCCTGAGCACTGGGATTAAAGGCTTGTGCCACCACACGTAGCCCAACATCGTAGTTTTAAAGACCAATGAGCATATACTTATGTTGGTGAGGACATTGTTATCCTATGATCCTTCCTTTATCAATTCCTACAAATGATTCTTTTGGTGGTTTGTGCTTATTTTTCCCACTCAGCATGATTTTCTTGGCATGAGGGCTTCTCTTTCATATTGGAATAAAGTATGCCAGAATTTGCTTTACTTTGTTGTTGTTTGGAGTCTTTTGATGTTTGTTTAAGACAGGGTCTCAATGGATAGCCCAGGCTGGCTTCAAGTTCCTGATTCTCCTGCTCCGCCAACACCTCTGCCTTTGCCTTTCAAGTGCTAGGATTTACAGACACGCATACAGCTTGCCTTATTAGTTTTGTGACTAAAACAAAACACACAGAGTAGTCCCTGCTTATCTGCAGGTTCACTTTCCTCAGTTTGAGTTACCTGCAACTGTGGCAGAATAAGTGAAAAATCCCAGGAATAAACGTTTTGAATAACTTCTACTGCAGTATACTGCTATAATTGTTTTATTTTATAGTCAGTTACTACTGTTAAATGCTGCGATGGCTTGAATCTGCAGTGTGTCCCCAAAGGTTCAGGTGTTGAAGGCCCAGTCCCCAAATGCAGTATTGTCAGAGATGGGGTTACTGGGAAGTGAGTACATCACAGGGCTGTGATCTCATCATGAATGGACTATTTAGGAGGTGGTCGACACTGAAGGAAGTGTGGCCTTGCTGGAGGAAGTAGTCACTGGGGTGTGTCTCCAAGGGCATAACTTGCCCCAGCCCCTCTCTCTTTCTGTCTCTGTCTCTGCAAGTGATCAGGACCGAGACTGCTACAACCATGAGCCAAAACAACCCTTTCCTCCAGTAAGTTGTTTTTCTCTTGTCTTTTGTCACAGGAACAGAACTAACACCATTGCTTTCTGTGTCTTATTTATGAATTAAACTTTATCATAAGTATGCATGTATAGGACAAAACAGCATATATAGAATTTTGTACTATTTGTGCTTTGGTATCCACTAGGGATCTTAGAACATACCTCCCAATAATATTGTAACACAGACAGCTAAAAGCACAACTATAATACAGTACTTATTAACTCTGATGTATAAATGCTGTTTTTACATTTACTAGCCAAGAATTCAGAACTACTGCTAACTGCTGTCATATGGGCAACAAAGCCAAAGTATTCCAGACATGTTACATGTAGTGGTTGTCAAAAAGAAGAGAAAAACAAAGCAAAACAAGGACTATAATTTTCTTAAGATGAAAAGTGAGCTTAAATAATTGAAATGATTTATATCTACAATCCTGAAAATTCATTTTCAGAGCTTTAATAATTATAAACGTCTCATATTTTGTTTCTCATCTAAATGTCATTTAATGATTACTTATAATTTACTCAGAGGAACACAATTTAAGAGGCAGAATGAACTGAAATAATTTTTATAGCTTTGCTTTTAGTTTTGTATGTGTAGAAAGATTTAAAAAAAATAATGTTGACGATCCTTTTTCATTTTCAAAACCCTGTTCATGCCAACAATTACGTTCTTACCTCCACTTGGAAGTTTTCTCTGACATTCATAATTATAGCTCTCCCATCTTGGTGCAGGGGTTTGAACCCAGGGCCTGGCACATGCTAAACAGGAACTCTACCACTGAGCCATATCCCCAGCCCTCAGGGGATCTCTTATTATTTCCAGAAACTACAACTTTTGTAGCCATTTCTATGAAATTGTTTGTTGCTATCTGCCTTACATTTTGGTTACTTACATAGGTTTTATTTCTTTCTAGAGAGTCAGTCAAGGCTGGTAACTAGAAGTCCTTCCACATACCAATACCAGCTGCTTCACAGAGGCTGCCTGCAGCAGTGGACAGGAAAAGCTTTGAGGCCACTGTGGGGCTTAGCAGAAAAGAGCAACTCCATTAATAACTGACTTTCAGTGGAGGGTGGGCATTTGCTATTCTTCCACTGTTAGGATCTATCTGGGTTTTCATCTTGCTGAATGCTCTGTAGTTGAAGAATCAGTTCTCCTACAGAAGGAACTATGATGGGAGACTGTATTGGCCTCTTGTGCCTACACTCATTTTTCAGGACCCATGTGGCCCCTCAGAGACAGGCACGAGTCTACTTCCTGCTGCCTCTTTGCTCTCCATTTCCTTCTTCCTCCACCCATCCAAATCAACTTTATTCCACCATCCTTTTCCTTTTATCAAGACATCTCCAGAGAAGCAGTGTCTGCAGAGAATGCAGCTTATTTCCCTAAAGCAGTAATCAGAGAAACACTGACAGGAGCAGTCTGAGTAAAGCAACAGTGGGTCCTTCCCCTCATCCTGCTCTGTCCCCACAGCTCACTGTGTTCTACTCTGCATTGGAACTTGGCACCCATCAGAAAAGCTCAGTGTCGTTCCATTTCCTCAGATGAAGCTGTCTCATGTGGAAATGAAGCAGTGAAATGTCTAGAAGGTAGAAAACCCTTGGGATTAAAGTCCTGTCCCTTACTCTGCTATTCCAGTTATTAACACTGAAAAGCTGTTATTAACTGTTCGCTGGATGGTTGTCTCAAAGTGTAAACTTTAGCTGTTGTTCTACCACCCTGTGGTCTACCACCCTGTGCTCTTTCTTTATTATATTCCCTTTGAAATAACAGACTCTGGGGGCTGGAGAGATGGCTCAGAGGTTAAGGGAACTGGCAGCTCTTGCAGAGGACCCAGGTTCAGTTCCCAGCACCCACATGGCAGCTAACAACCATCAGTAACTCCCATTTCAGGAGATCCAACATCCTCTTCTGACCTCCTTAGGCACTGCATGACATGGGTACATTTACCTACATGCAGGCAATACACTCATATACATATAATAAAATTTAAAAAAAGAAATAATACACTTTGAAAAATTTGAATGAATGTAAGGAAAACTTTAGATCACTTAGAAGTGTAAATCAGCATCACTCGGTATTAACAGGAAGCTGAAAATTCTATATTTTTTTTCATATATTTCATCCCCCCCCCAGGGGGATTGCACCCACAGCCTTGCATATGCTAGGCAAATGCTGTACCACTGAGTTACACTTTCAGGCCAAGAAATCCTAAAACTAAATGAAACTCTGAAATCAGTATGTTTGCCAGCTCACAGCTATGCCCACCTACATTCTGTCAATGAAGCACACATCACTCATTGAGAAACTCGACTGTAAATTACTAAATATAGTGACTTTCTTGATTTTATCATAATAAAGAACTCAAAGTGAGGACCGCAAAGTAAGAAAGATGTACTGTGAGAGGGGGCCTCATTTTTTAAGTTACACTGAATGTGAAGACTCTTAAGAAATATGTAATACACTATACAAATGGACACTGGGCAATTCCTAACCCACTCCCCCAAGCCTGTTTCTGTAGCAGAGTTTTAACATCTAATTTTGTTTTAAAGGCCTTATGGTACAGAAAATTTTAAAAGCGATTTTGGGTTTGCTGAATAGTGACAAAGGAGTAATCATCAGAAAATTCTGCCTCTTTGTTCAAGCAATGGTTTTTCAAATTTAATTTTCAAGTCATGCTCATTCCTACCAGTTTCAAACTAGGAAACTGAGCACTATTTAGTCACTTCTCTGATTCTCACAAGTCTATTAAGTCCATATTAAACCCTTCTTTTTTTTTTTTTTTTTTTTTTTTTTTTTTTTTTTTTTTTTGATTGAGACAGGGTCTCCCTGTAGCCCCAGCTGGCCTAGAACTCACTATGTAGACCAGGCTGGCCTTGAATTCACAGAGAACCACCTGCCTCTGCCTCCCGAGTGCTGGGATTAAAGGCGTGCGCCACCATGCCTGGCCTAAAACCTTCATTTTTTTAAGCTGAAGTAAGATATCTTTTAGGTTAATTCCATTAAGTTCTGAGCATCTAAGTGTTTTGTGTGATTTTTCTGAGACAAATTTCTCTATAAAAGCAGTTAAAAAAGAAAAACAACTGAGGTGCTAATAGTACCTTGACAGAATGATTATGGAAATCTGTAACAATAATCTCATTATTGCTATTTACAGCTGCAAAATGGGGACCTGCAATAAAAATGGGAAAGAACACATGAAGGCTCCAACCTCAAAAATTACTACAACACAGCATTTACTGCGACACAAGACAAAGTGAATATACTGATTATTTAACAAAGAATCAGAGACCTCATCCTTGAAAAACCATCCTTATAGCTGCAGATGGTCCGATATAATTCTACACTGTAACTGTAGACTCTAACCTCTCCCGGATCAAGCAACTAGGAGTGGCCAGGAGCAGTCAGCATTTCATCCCTGTTGCCATCTGAAAGTTACACCTGCCAGCTTCTCTGAATATGTGATACTTTTTGTTTAATTAGTGCATGAGCAGGAACCCTCACCTCCCACAAAGAAAAGGCATGCTAACTCTAAACACTAGGAAAGGGGCTCCAAAATGTTTTGTATTTAAAAACTAAGCAGAAAAATCTGTATTTCATCATATTGAGCGACTGTTCAGAGTCTGGGCAGCATTAAGAACTAGAGACTGAGAGAAAAGAAGGATTTTGCAAAACAATGTTAAATCCCCCAAGCATCCTTTGAAAAAGAAAATCATTGAACCATGCTCAGCCTTTTCTTGCAGATGTGTAAATCAGAATAGCTTTTGACTACAAAGTGGCACATCAGAAAGTAAAAAAGACTGCTTTCTCTGCTCTCAGCAAATATCCTGAACGCTTTTAATAACTACAATAACTCTTATAATAACCTACAAAAGTGCAATAAATTTAGCCAAGGCTCTTTAAAGAAAACTGCAGCCTCAGGAAACAGGAGTTACTGTTCTTCAGACACTTTCACTTAAAAATTTTTTTTTTAGTCTTTTTGAGACAAGGTCTTCCTATAGCCCCAGCTGGCCTGGAACTTGCTATGTAGACCAGGCTGGCCTCGAACTCATAGAGATCCACCTGCCTCTGCCTCCCAAGTGCTGAGATTAAGGGCATGTGCCACCATGCCTGGTTTAAAAATATTTTATTTTAAAATGTATTATTTTACTTAATACAAATATCTGAGAATTCAACACCTGCATTTTAAACTTCTATCAGTAAAAACCACACAGAGTCTGCATAGGTCAACTTACTAAGGAGGGATCACCGAGAAGAATCTACTAGGCTTTGGTTTCATCCCCAAAGTCAGCACATACACGGGATGTAGCACCTTCAACATGTTCAAGCATCATGCAAATGTGAGCAAAAGCAGCATTGAAAAGGGGGTTTACATATTACCATCAAGTGTACCTGCAAATTGCCTGTCCCCATTTCCTCGGCTACCAAACCTGGTGACTATTTTCCCATTTGGCTGGAAGATGAACACACAGCACGCCTTGTTGTCCACCACAATAATGTGCCCATTGCGGTCCACAGACACTCCTTTGGGCCCCATCAACTTTCCGGATCCAATTTTTGTCTGTTAGAAACAAGTACAGAAAATGAGTACAGATGCTAAAATTTAAAGCACTACAGAACCAACCCAAACATTTACTTGAATCTTCAAACCTGGGAAATACAGTCACTTGTGTGCCACAATGGTCTTTTGTTCCATAAAAAACTGGTCCTGTCATAATCATCATCTGCTACTAGCATTTATATAAATGTCTTATTTTTTAAAACCATTTGCCACCAAAATTGTTCTAGAATTTCCTAGCTTGGGGCTTCAGTGACCCTTTAAAGGGACATTAAATGAAAATCATGGGATTAGGAGTCAAAAAACTGTCTGGTTTCTGTTGGTTACTTTGAGCACATCTGAAACTGCACAAACAGATTCTGTTTCTTTAGTGTTAAGATTCATTATATATTTCAAACAAAGTTTTAGAAAGCAACTTTAAAAATATCCAAATGGTTAGTAAATAAAACAATGTCAAAGATTTAGTGTAAGCAAAGCAACAGTAAACAGCCACTAAATAGAAACCATCACTGTCACTGTTAGATATCACAACTGGCATCAAATTGCAGTCATGTACCATTAAAATTTACTAGAATTAAATTCAACATGGTTGGAAGTCATGCCTATCTATCCACCACTGTACTCAGAGCCTACCACACTGGTTGGTATGTAAGTGGTAATCAACAACTATTTGTTGAATACATTAAAAAAACAAAAATATAGAATCATTATATGCCAGTCCAATCATGATTGTTATTATTTGTGTGTATCTATGTGACCTGTGAGTGCATGCTTGTGTGGGTGTGCACATGTGTGGAGACCAGAGGTCAGCTTTGGATTTATCATTCATTAGGAGGCCTCCATCTTGTCTTTTGAGACATGGTCTCTCATTGGCTTGCTAAATAGGCTAGGCTGGCTGTCCAGGTAGCCCCATGGATCTGCTCATTTCTGCCTCACCAGTCTGGGGATCACAAACATGCACTACCATTATGGGTTTTGGGGATCAAAGTCAGGTCCTCATGCTTTCACAGCAAGCACTTTACTGACTGAGCCATCTCTCAAGCCCCTACCTAACTCATAATGATTAAATGCTTCCATTTTTCAGGATTCAAAAGGAGGAAAAACAATTTAAAATTTTTTATTTTTATTTTATGTGTATGAGCATTTTACCTGCTTGTATGTAAGTAAACCACATGGGTGCAATGTCCATGGATGCCACAAGAGGATGTTGGATACCCTGGAACTGGAGTTAGGGATGTATGTTAGCTGCCATGTGAGTGCTGGGAACCAAACCTGGGTCCTTTGTAAGAGCAGTCAGTGCTCTTAACTGCTGAGTCATCTCTCAGCCCCAGTCTTAGATAATTTATTTATCAACCTTATACCACATATATAGTTATGCAGTTAGCCCTCCATATACTTCAGTTCTCATCTGTAGATTCAACAAAGCTCAGATCAAAGATATTCATGCGGAAAAATCCACTTGTGTCTTTACTGAACATATGCAGTCTTTTTCTCTTATCACTATTCCCTAAGCTGTACAGCATAACCGATCTACAAGGCATTTGCTTTGTATTAGGTATAAGTCATCTAGAAGTGATGCAATATCTAAGGAGGACGTGTATGGATGATATACAAACTCTACACCACTTTACAGGAGGAACTCGAACATCCTGGAGTTTTGGTGTCTAAAGGGTTCCTGGAACCAGTCCTTCTATGGAGACTGAGGGGAACTGTCCTTTAGGAGGAAAAGTGAGACACCAAAGTGTATGTAGCTTAGAAAGTTGAGTTTGTGTTATCAGGAGTAACTCTTATTTTTTTATTTTATACTTTTTTGTATGCATATTTATATTACATTAATAAGTACATATTACATTACATTTAATAATACATAAAACCTTAGCTTTATGCATTTTTTAAATGAAAAACTATCCCCAAATACATCTCATAGATTCTGCAATGAGCCCTTGTTTCCTCTCTCCACATTAGTACTGCATAACAGAAATCTGATGTGAGCCATGTGTGTATTATTCATTTCCTAGTGTAGGAATGGAGTTTTCCCACAGTACTGATTCAGACTTAGTGTGAGTCTTTATTCTTCTAAGTTTATAAATGACGGGGATTCAGAGTTGATCTCCTTAGAGCAGAGAGACATAATTACATTGAAAGACAACAGCGGTTGTCTCAGGCAAGGGGAGCTGCTATCTGATACCGACTCTGCAGTGTAGCCCAAAGATCAAGGAGGCTCTAACTTAACAGTGTTTGAGGAAATGGCATGTGTTCTTTCATGTCTGAATGGAAGGTATGCCTGCACAGATCAAAAGAAGAGCTGGCACTCTGACCATTACTACCTAATATTATTACTACCTAACATTATGAACAACAGTACTTTCTTAGAATGACTCAACCATATAATACTAAGTAGATAATTACCTAGAATAAAAACAGAAACTAAAGAATTGTCTCAATTCTATTATGTGATGACAACTAGGGCAGATCTGAGAGAAAAATTTAAATGTTGAACCCAAACTTCCTTTTCTTCTACCTCACACAATCATTCTCAGTTTAGCTGCACCGAATTCTATAAAGTAAGAATCCACGCATTTGGCATGGATTTAACTCAACAAAAGGCTTGCAAGTTGGAGATGGAAGAGATAAGGCATTTTAGAATATGGTGGTCAAAGAATGTACCATATTTACACGAAATATACATTCTGACCACCAAAGACTCCCATCAGGGCTGGAAGATATGAGCCACGAGGGAAGACAAAAGGGAAAACATTAAAGGAGGCAGAGAAGACTCAAAATTGGGCTAAGAAATGAGGAGATAAGATGTTACATATCTGAAACAATTGGAAATAAATACAAAGACTGTATTGTTGTAAAAGTTAAGTCTGGTGTTCTGCTAATTTTACTGAGTCCCATCAAAGCAGCAAAAATAAAGCTCTCTTGATACATAGTTCTAGATTTGCTCACCTGGATGATCTCTGCTTACAGTACTCAAGTGTTTTCACGTGCTATCCTTTTATCTCAATGGGTCTAGTCCATACTTATCCTAAAAAGGGGGTTACTGCAGCAGGCCCTGCCCTTTCTCCAGTCCTCTAGGGGGCATGAGTGCTCTTTAGAGTTTATGCTGCTCTCCTAATAGCATCCCAACTCAAAGATTCCAGTTCTCCCAGGAGTATCTGTTAAAGATATTGATCTATTGAGCATTGGATGCAAAAGGCCTCAATCAGGGAGCCTTCTCTCTTAGATCAAACTCTTGCTCATTATGTGAAAGCTATAATAGTATTAGCTCCTGGATGTACCAATAGAGAATCATTTTACTGGAGTCTGAAATAAGAACAAATGAGTTTCCTCCAAACCAGAGGAATACTTCACAGAGAACAGTGAATAGTTTTCTCTGTTTTCATATCATGGTTGTCACATTTGGGTAAGTCTTCCCACAAGAACAACTATAAAAACACAAAAGTTGAGAGATACAGAAAGCCAGTAGATCTTTCTGTATGCCCACTACATGGTGCTATCAAATTTCTAATGGAACACAAACTTCAAGGGCTACTGAAGGACTGCACGCAATATTTAGAATAAAAGGGACGATCTTTTATTTTCCTAGATTGAAAAGATGCTGTCCCACGTATAACCAAGGCTCTCGTATGAGAGTAAATGATTACCTAAGTAACTCATCTCATAAATACTGTGAGGTGACATGTCAATCCAAAGACTTTAAGTTCCTCCAGTTAGAAACTGAGTGAGCCCCACCTTCAAGGTTCCAGGACATGAAAAACACCCTTCAAACTTTTAGAGAAGGAAGTGATATGATGGCGACCAGACACCTGCATGAGGCCGTGAAGGCCAAGTCACAGCTGGTCATACAGACTTTGTGTTTTGGCAGGGTTACAAGAGGCATGGAAAAGATCATTTCAAAAATGCTTATCTTGTGTGAGGCCCATATAAAAATCCAGAAATAAAGTCTCATTTAATTTTAATTCAAATTCCATGAGATAGATGTCTTTTTTAAAATATTTTATTATTTTTATGTGTATGAGTGTATTGCCTGCATGTAGGTAAGTGCACCTGTGTCGTGCAATGCCCACGAAAGACAGAAGAGGCCATCAGATCCCCAGGAACTGGAGTTACGGACAGTTGTTAGCTGTCATGTGGGTGCTGGGATTTGAACCTGGGTCTCTGCAAGAACAACCAGTGTTCTTAACCACTGAGCCATCTCTCCAGACCCTGAGATAGATGCCTTTAAACTCCCAATTTTAAGCACTCAAGGAAATTATATAATTTGCCAAAGGTAAAAAAGCTAATAAGCACAAAACTAGGATTCCAGTGGTTGATTGGAGTTAAAGTTCATGTTGTCAAATGAATTCAAAGCCTTCAGTAGCCTGAATGGGGGTTTGTAGAGGGCACAGCTCGTGTGGCCTTCCAAAAGATCTTTGACAAGGTATCTCACAGTCTTGTGACTAAATGTGCAAGACTGGCTGAATGAGAGCAGCTCTTTGATAGCACCTGAGGGGAGAATCCTATCATCAACATTGGGCTCCCCCTACTCTTTGGTGACTTGCTGAAGAAACAGAAGCCAGTACGGTCTGGATCTTGACTATCCCCCAAAGGCCCAGGTGTCAAAGGCCTAGTCCCCAGCAGTAGAGCCTTTCAGAGGTGGAGTAAAGGAAGTTAGGTGATTGGGGTATGCCCTTGAAGGAGGTAGTGGCTAAGATCACTTCCTCTTTCTCCTGCTTTCCTCTACCATGTGCTCCACCTCAGCACAGGGCCATCAGGGACAAGTGACCATGGACTGAAGCCTTTAAAACTGTGGACCAAAAGAAATCTTTACTTCTCAAAAGGTGGTTTTCTTAGGCATCTGGATATGGCAACAGAAAGACGACTAACAAAGACGCCATTTTTACATTTTGCAAAAGGCAATACTAGGTGATAGTTCATCCATCAAATGATGGGTCCCGCAAGGGTCAGCGAACCGGCCTCATCTTTTCTGTAAATCCAGCCTCCAAGTATCTTCCACTGCAGGCCTGAGAACGTAGAAGGCACTTTATGAAAACCTGGAGATAATTTGAGAATCACAAACTGCCTCTTCATAGCTCTTTGCAGAAGGCTGTTTTTTTCACTGAACTCAGGAAATAAAAATTTTTCTTCTAAATCTGTTTTTTTCAAAGTAATTAAGCAAAAAAGAATTATTACTTTATAAACAAAAACCACATTTAGGATATATATACATACACATAAATACACATATACATATATGTGCATGCATAGATGTGTGTTTGTATGTGTGTATATATGTGTGAGTGAATAGATGTATGTGTACAGATGTGTGTATATGTGTGTGAGAGATGTGCTTGTGTGTGTATATGTGTATATACAGGTGTGTATGTGTGTGTATATATGGGTAAGTGGAGAGATGTGTGTATCGATGTGTATACGTATATGAGCAAGTTTATAAAATTATCAGTGTTACTCTCACTTCATAATACTGAGATGCCACTGTAGAATTATTATTGAATATTGGATTGAATCTGACAAAGAAAAACATAAGTTAATATCACATTTCATGTTCCTTCTATGTAGTGGTCAAATGGTAGTCAACCTTACCTTAAACTTCCCATCTGAAGAAAAGATGCTAACCCATTTGTTATCATAATCTGCAATGATAATGTCCCCACTGGGATGCACGGCCACCCCAGTGGGCCTCTGCAGCTGCCCAGGGGAGCGCCCTCGGATGCCGAAACGACTTTTGAATTGGCCATCATTGGAAAATATCTGTATAACAAATTTACATTCATTAGAATCTGAACTAGCACAGAAGATGCTGAGGGAGAAAAAGGCAAGAAATTTGTCACATGCACTGCTGGTCAGAACATGCCAACCTTGCTTAAGAGACCTGCATCATTTTAAGTTTCTTGCTCACCCCATTTACCCTACGTCTAAAATAGAGAAATATGCACCTATATCTATTTTATCGATGTAAGTGGCTACAGGCACACGAGTGGGATATACCTGTACACATTGGTTGTTACTGTCTGCAATTAATATCTTTCCACTTGTAGATGCGGCTACCCCCTGAAGATTTGTAAACTCTCCTTTGTTTCTTCCTTTGGTACCTAAAAATAAATGATAAAAGCACAGAAATTAAGTACTGTGGAATGCGATATCTCAGTTTCATCAAAAGAACAATCCAACTTCCGTAGCCTGGGAATGTGTTGTTTCTCTCCTTTTCAGTGCTAGGGATTGAACCCAAGGCTTCACATGTGCTAAGCATACGTTCTTACTGAGCAATAGGCCAGCATGGGCAACAATAGTGAGAACCAGGCTCAAAACAAATAAACAGACAAATAAAAGTAAATATAAAGATAACTAAGATGAGTTGGTATTTGTAGTAGGGGAACAAGGAAGGTGGGATTAGCCTTTTAATAAAGAGAGGTGTATGCTTTTGTGATTTGTTTTGGGTCTCCTGATTAGAGCAAAACTGAAGGACATATGAAGAAAGAATTCTACAATGTTCACTTTGTGGACAGCTTTTCAAAGGTAGTAAGAGTAAACCCAGGGCCTTTAAACTGAAAAACAACAACAACAAAAAAAATGCCTTTTCAGAAACATTCGAAAAGGAGGTATAGTGGTGCAACACCTATGATTCCAGCACGCTGGAAGGATGAGACAGAAGGATGGCTTGGCACACAAAATGAGTCTCAAAAAATTGGTAAATAAAAGCATGGCATTAACATGATGAGTAATCAGAACCAATTAAAAGGCAAGCGTCTGAGCAGGAGAGATGGCTCAGTTGGTAAAAGTGCTTGTAGCACAAGTCTGACAACCCATGTTGGGTCCCTGGAAGCCACTTAAAGTAGGTGAGAACCAACTCTACAAAGTTGTCCTCTGACCTTCACATGTGTGCTGTGGCATGCACCCCTCTCACCACACACACATACACACACACACTGCTTTTTTTTTTTTTTTTTTTTTTTAAGCAAGAGCTTTATAACTGGGAATGGAACGGAAACAAAAGAAGCAACCTTAAAGAAAACCTCACTGCTGTGGTTCCTTGCTTATGTAAAATTGGCCATGTCTCTGAAGCAATCAGGTGGGGGATGCCGAAGCAGGAGTGGGGGGCGAGGAGAGGGCTGTGGGTAAGAAACACCTGAGCCAAGTAGATGAATAATGATTTGGTGTCCTTCAGGTCCGGGCAGGGACAAACGCTGTCTGTGGCTCTCCTTCATTTAATTTAACCTTTTGTTTATTTTTGCTAAAGATAAAGACTATTCTGTTCCTAGCAGACGCAGCAGGGATGGATTGATGACAGAAGAGAAATGGAGAACATAGTGCATTAGTAGAAGTCTCGGCTGTCTTGTTACAAAGATTCCGTTTGCCTCCTGGAACATGCAGGTGCTGCTGGAAGAAGGGAGTTCTAGGAGCCAAAACCACCAGCACATTTTTGGTGCTGTGCATAAGAAGTAACCATGGGAGAACATTCAGTCAGACCCTGTGAACCCGACTCCAGAGCCTGGGGCAGGAAGCCATCCATTTGAAATGAATGAGAGAGGCTCAGAAGCTGCCAACAGCAGGTCAGCAGGGCAGTGGATCAACGTTGTAAAAGAGCACACTGCTGGAAAGAGGTTCCACAGCCTCTGCTGGGCCTCCAGGAATATGTGGTCTGGCTCTTAGAGTACCATTAACTTGAATTTGTTCTCCCAGTCGTAAATAAAATCATGGGTTTGGAGAAACACCAGTTAGCCTAACACTGTTTGAACAAGGCTAGATAAAACAGGCATAGCCCAGTGAGCTGGCTCAGCAGGTAAAAGCACTTGCCACATAAGCAAGCATTCACCGGGCAAGTGACCTGAGTTCCATTCCCAAATCCCACAGAGCAGAAAGACAGAACTGACTCGGGAAAATTGTCCTCTGACTCCAATATGTGCACCTGTACTCACACAGACACAAATCACAAATATATACTAAAACGAAAATAAAAAGAAGCCAGGCACTACCATCTAAATTCCATAATATTGTCCTAAAAAACCTCCCTCTCTGTCTTCTCTTTCTCCCTTCCTTCCTTCTTCTCTGGTGCTAAAGATCAAATGCACCTCTCTACTCCCCATCTCCTCTTGCCCTGCCCCGCAGCCTTGTGCTAAGCAAGTATTCCACTTACAGCCACCCCCATTTTAATGAGCAACTTTTGTCTTGACAGAGAGTCCTGATCATCATTTTTTCTTACAGTGTTTGAAAGCACTTCAAGATCAGTGTTCCTCCTGAAGATGAGAGGGAGCCATAGCATACTCTTAGGAACAGCTGATGCTGATTAGTTTTCACTGGTCATTGAACTAGACGTTAATGATGTATCATCATCATGCCCAATGTTCAAGTGTTTGGAAAGTGTCTTGTGCTGAAAATAAAATAAATGGAAATTATAGAAGTTACAAATTATTTGGGATTATGTTTTACTTCTTCAGCTTCTTAGTAAATTTTATTTAGTCTATAGAAAAGTCTCTCCTATCTCTTTATAAAGTATTCTAAATAAGAAGGCTGGTGATGTGGCTCAGGAGTAAGCACTTGCCTAACATGTATAAGACCCTGGGTTCAATCCTATGCACACACGTTCAATCCTATACACACATGCACACACACACACATACACACACACATACACAGAGGATTGTAAATATGTAATGAAAGTGATTTCCTTCATAACAAATATATATAAAAAAACACATATAGTACTACTAATAAAATCTTTTCCTGTCTACCTTGATGTAAAAGATTTCATTTCACAGTTACTTGTACTGGCTATTAAAATAAGCAACATGAATTTAAAAGAGGCTATAAATAATTTAGGAATAATCTCATAAGATAGTTAAATTAGTTTTTCTAGCTACTAAGCTAGCCTATGAAGCACAAAGGGAATTTTGAATTCAAGGCTTCTCACTCCTGTTCTTCCTGACCACTTCCAAATCCCAAGGAGGCGAGCCCTTAGACTGAAGCCAGGGGACCAAGGAATGCACATTTCCTCTTACCCCCCACCCCAACCTATATGTGAGACGTTAGCGAGGCAAGGAGAGGGTCTAACATGGTATCTTGAACCAAGCAGGTGCTAAATTAATGTCTACTGAGTAAATGAGTGCACGAATGAGTTATTAATGAGTGGCAGTAAATTACAACTCACTTTGCATTGTGAGATGATGAAATGTTCAGTATTTTTTACAGCACATTCATGTGTACTCTCTCTGGTGCTCCTGAGAGGACAAATCTTATCACTCCCATTTTGTAGATAAGAAAGTTGAAGGTGGACATATCATAAAGGTAATCAGAGATAGAAGAAAGACTAAACTACATTTTTCTAATACACACATTGTTTCTTTTTTTTGTTCTTTTTTTGTTCTTTTTAAGACAGGGTCTCCCTGTAGCCCCAGCTGTCCTGGAACTCACTATGTAGACCAGGCTGGCCTTGAACTCACAGAGATCCACCTCCCAAGTGCTGGGACTACAGACATGCACCACCACGCCCAGCTTGATTTAATTTCACCAGATCTGGCAGGTCAGCCTGGGCTACATAGTGAAATCCTGACTCAAAATTTTTTTATTTACTTATTTTTATTTATGTGTTTGTGTGTGTGTGTCTATATATGTATGCACACATGTGTGCAGATGACTGTGGAGGCCAGAAGAAGGCATTAGATCCCCTGTAGCTGTAATTACAGGCATTTGTGAACCACATGATGTGGGTGCTGGAAACGAAACTGGTCCTCTGCTAGAGCAGCAAGGGCTCTTAACCACTGAACCGTCACTCTGGCTCCACACTGTTTCTTTTTAATTAGACTTTAACATACCAGAGTTTAGAAGTGAAGATAATTACGCTTTAGGTTCACATGGATCATGTCTTCTCTTAAAATTCTTTAGAAACCTCCATCCCTCATCACATCATACTTTAACTGTCTAACTGTAAACTTCAAGCTCTGAAGGAAGGAGTAACACCTGCCCCATTCCCTGTTGCACCTTATGACAGTGCTGGAGTTTGGGGGTAGAATGTCACCCAAAGGACATGAACTACAGGCATGGTCCTCAGTCCACGTCACTACTGGAAGAGGGTGGAACCTTTAACAAGTGGAAGGAAGTTAGGTCACTGAGGACATGCCCTTGAGGGAAATTTAGGGACCTCAGCTCTCCCTACTCCTGACTTCAGTTCCCAGTCACCATGAAGTGAACCTTCTCTCTATAGAATAGATATAGAAGTGATTCTATTCTATCCTGTCCCATCCTATGTCTGTTATGTAAAGTGTTCTACCTCTGAGCTAAACTACCTCTCCAATCCTACACATCCATTTGAGTACACAGGAGTGTTTCAGTTAACTTCCTACCAACTCACTAAAGAATGGTGTATGAATTACATATTTTGAAACAATCCTTTCCTCTCTCCCACATCTTCCACTTCCCCTTTGTTCAATGACTTTCCTCAGGAGCTGACTAAACCACCTCATAACTTCTAGTCAGCAAATTCAGAAAATAATCCCTGCATTTGAAGGAACTAACATTAGCAGATGCTCTAAGCTACTTCTCTCAGCTCATTCAGAATTGTTTTTCAATGCAATAAGAAAGACTATAATTCACTTAGAGTGGGCATTCAATTAAGCTGTCAGGCATGGGTGCTGCCAAATAGCTCAACTTTGGAAAATTACAGAAGTTAAAGGATGTTTAAAAGGCGCAGCTTTCACTTTAAGTTTTGGGTTCTTCAGTGGTAAAGATGATTACATGTTGTAATATGTAATATGGCTCTTGAGGAGTAGAGCTGAGGGTTCCAGGAGGGAGCTCTTATCTGTGCCGTCTGCCCATTTCCAAAGTGTAAATGCTCCTATCCTGGTGATTTCAAGTTAACAATAGAGAGCCATCGAATAAGCCAGCAAGGTTTTCCTGTAGCACAGCACACACTCAATACATACAGCAGGCACATCATACTGTAGCATTATTACAACCAAAGCAATGTTATCCCTACTAAGGATTTACAGTAAGAGGACACAGCACACAGAACTATGCCCGATCTAGAGGATGCCTCTCCTTTCTCCTCTTCAGTCCCCATCTGGTCCTTCAACTACAATCCCTTCTTTGATGTCTCACT